AAAAAAAAAAAAAAAAAAAAAAAGGAAGAAGACAGTCAGGGTGAAGAGGGAAGAGCCGAGGTGAAGGGAAGGAAGGTGAAGGGTGGCGACGAAGGTGATGGCAGCCGGGGAGTTGACCGGAGGCGTTGACCAGGGTTGACCGGCGTTGATCGGGGGTTGACCGCGGGTTGACTGTAGCGTTGGTTGAGCGTTGACCAAGCGTTGACTAAGGCGTTGACCAAGATTTTGACCAAACTGGAGCCGGCATAGTCTCGCCAAGCCTTCAGCCTATCCCTCGCCCTATGGATGAGCACACACCCAGTGGTACTTGTTGCGTCCAGTTTGTCTGTCTCTTCTTTCTGCATCGAGTCTCTTTTGTTCAGGTGATAGTACGTTGTGGATGAAGGATAGGCCTTGTTGACCAAACCCCTGCCGGACCAAGTAGGGCTAAAGACTGTGTGTGACGACTCGACTGTCCAGGAGGCCTAACCCTCCCAAGGACCGGTACAGACCGGCGGGCTGCTCGGTGTGGCACGGTAGGCCTGAAAGGCTGAGGTGTGGGCTGCGCAACAGGCAGTCTAAGTGTTGAGAGACCTGCTGATTGCGTCGTCCTGTTTGCGACGTTAAATAATTCCTGAGGAGTTACGGGGGATCTGCTTAAATGCCTCTTGATCTGCAACAGGTCTAGTAGTGACAACCATAGTATAGGTCTAGGCTAGAGACCCTAGTTGACAGGATCCTTGTCCGGATTCTGTGAGTCTTTAGAGTGAGTCAGTAGGTTTGTCAGTCAGGGGTTAGAGTTTACGTGCTGAGGTTTGGAACCGTCAATCCGGTTGTGCACTTATCACCATGGTTGAGACCCGTAGTGGGAAGAGCACTAGCCCCTATACCCAGGACCAACAAGAGAAGATGGCCGCCTTAGTGAGAGAAAATAAGGAGAGGAAAGAGCTTCTGAAGCAGGCGAAATTACAAGCAATCGCAGAGGAGCAGGCGGCGAAGATGAAGAAGTTGGAAGAAGAGATGGAGGAGAAGAAAAAGGCTGCCGAGGTAGAAGCAGCAGCAGAAGCTGAAGAGGAGAGAAAACGCAGGGAAGTAAAAGGAGAGAGTAGTGGCACGGCGAATGAGGAGGCAGCGATGGAGAAGAAGATTAGTGAGTGGATTGCTAACTTACCGTTGGGGGAAGACGAGGAGGCAGAGATGTATGTGCCACAGGATGAGAGGGACGCGTTAGCCAGGGAGTTAGTGACAATCGAGGACCCCCTGGAACGGCAAGAAACAGAGGAGGAAAAAAAGTTGGAGTGGAAACTGAGGATGAAGAGGAAAAAAAGAGGAGGGAGGAAGTTAATAGGTTGACCGCAGAGGTGGCAAAGGTGAGAGCGCAGGCAGACATTTCTGTCAAAATGGATAAGATGTTGGAATACTTGGAAGTGTTGAGTGAGGCTTGGATGGAGGAGCGCCAAGCCAACTGGGGTCACGATGTGGCCCCGAGTGTCATGCAGTCAGGATTCCGGGATTTCGCGCGCGATATGGTCACCCACGTCGAAGTTAGGCGGTTAAGAGAGAACGTGGAAAAATTTTGTGAGGGCGCCATCGAGAGTGCCAAAGCAGTTGCCGCTATTGAGAGTGAGGCCAAGCCCCGTAAAGAGCCCGTCAAACTTAAGTTCCCGGACGCCTATGGCGGGAAGAAGGAGGAGAACTTTGATAACTGGGAGGCGAGCGTAAATAGTTACGTATACTTACAACATATCCTGACTGAGGAGCAAGTCCTCGTCGCCTTCCAGGCCCTCAAGGATGAAGCGACTAGTTTTGCCAGGTCCCTTGCGCGCGTAGCCGGTTGTGAAAACAACCTGGTTGCATATTCTAAGATCACCCCCCTTCCTCAATTCTTCAAACTCCTGAGAGAGAGGTTTGCTGACCCAACGAGAGGCGTGAGCGCCTTTGACAAGTTACAGACCATCCACTCACGGCAGTGGAGGAGTGCACGAGCACTCAAAGGTGTCATGGACGACTTGGTTTGGTAGCCGTGCCAGACCATGGGGTCACTAAGCCCCAGTTGGTCCAGTTTTTTTATCGTGCCATGCCAGAGCCCTTGAGAGGGCATTTCTTTGATAAGTCTCAACAGGCCGACATCACATATAATGTGGTGAGTAGAGAGGTGGTCCTGTTTGAGTCGAAGTCCATGCGAGTTTCCACTTTCTGGCATAGGGACTTGGATAAGAGGAAGAAGTGGAAAGGTCGTACCATCTTTGGCCAAGTCAGGGCCAAGGATCATATGATCCTTACTTTAGAGGAAGAAGGTACAGACGAGGTCCCATATAGTCGGATCAAGTGGGGCCTCGAGGATGAGGACAGTAGTGTGGGGCAGGGGAGGTCCTATGCTGTTGTCGCGGCTGGAGGGAGGCCGCAAGGTAGAGGAGGCCAAGGCCAAAGGGGCCAGGCCATGGGAGGCCGAGGACCGGGTGCACAGGGGGTTGGCGGACAAGGGAACCGCCAAGTGGGAGGTAGGGGTCAAGGTCCCCCGCTAAATCGTCAGGGTTCTTGTCGGTCCCCGCAGCGATGAGGCGGAAGGCCACCTCAAGGAGGATGGCACCCAGGCTTGCCGCAGGGCAGGCCCTGCGAAGATTTGGGCTTGGACCAACGCGTATGGCAGGAACACGTGGACTTCGGTCAGTGCGCGTATGGCAGGAACACGTGGACTTCGGTCAGTGCGTGTTTTGTGGTGACCCGGCCTAAGTACACACAGGCCCGATGGGCTGCCCAACAGTCAAAAGACAGCCGCCAGTAGGGGTCGCAACTGCCCCTACTTCAAGGCCATGTGGGGAAGCGAGTGCGCGTGAACAGGTAACTCCCAAACCACATGAGCCTATGGCAAAGGTTGCAGGCCAGTGCCTAGCTAGCTGTCCAGAGACTGCATGCGTTAGCGTCTCTCTAGGCACTTCCCTCACAGGCGTGGCAGAAGAGTTGAAGGAGAGAATGCCTGCCTGGGCCAAAATGAAGAAGGAGAGTAAGGGACAACTAATTCTAGTCGATGTAGAAGTTTTCAGGAGTAGAGTAGGGGCCCTTATAAACTCAGGGGCTACCCGTAGTTATATTAGCCGTAGAGCGTTGAAGAAGCTGAGGCAACGCCCCGCACATTGACTGAATTGTGGTCGTTCCTAGGCCTAGCTAATTATTACAGGAAGTTCGTGAGGAACGTCTCCACTATCGCCGCTCCCTTGCGCAGGTTGCTRAAGAAAGAGGCAATCTGGCAGTGGGGTAAAGACTGTACGTCTGCGCTAAAGAAGCTGAAGCGCGCGTTAATAGAATATCCTGTCCTCAAAGTTGCAGATCCGTCTTTGCCATTTGTCGTCACCACGGACGCAAGTCAGTATGGTATAGGCGCAGTGTTGCAGCAAGACGACGGCAATGGCTACAGACCCGTGGAGATCATGTCGACGAGGATGCCCTCAGAGAAGGTAGCCACCTCGACATATGAGAGAGAACTCTACGCTCTCAGGCACGCCTTAGAGCACTGGAAGCATTACCTGCTTGGGAGGCACTTCAAAGTATACTCAAACCACGAAACTCTTAGATGGTTAAAGACCCAGGCCAAGATAACACCTAAGTTGACTAGGTGGGCCGTTGAGATAGACCAGTACGACTTTGAGCTCAAACCAGTCAAAGGCAAGTACAATGTTGTTGCGGATGCTCTAAGTAGGAGATCAGACTACTTTAGAGCTATAGTACACTATCTGGATATAGGAAAGGACCTGCAAGAGAAAGTTAGACAGGCGTATGCGCAGGACCCTATCTACAGTGACCTCCTCAAGAGAGTTAAGGAGGCCCCAGAGACCGAACTACACTACCGCACTACAGAAGGATTGTTATTTGAGAAGACTGATGTAGTAGATCGCCTTTGCGTCCCCAAAGTAGTCTGATCCTTGGGGAATCCCATGACACAGAGGGACACTTCGGTTGGTAGAAGACTTAGCCAATCTGATGCGTGCATATACCTGGCCAGGAATGAAAGCAGACTGCATAGAGTATGTTCGCAGTTGCAAATTTGCCAGAGGAACAAACCACTACGCGTGCCCCTCTAGGTCTTCTCAAACCCTTGCCTATCCCAGACCAACCTGGAGATTCAGTCTCCATTGACTTTATGGATGCCGGTGTCAAGAGTAGGCACGACAAGAGCCAAGTCATGGTCATAGTTGATAGTGATAGAGGCATGTACGGACGGAATATGCAGTTTTTGTTCCTTTGCCTGCAGAGGCACGTACGGAATTAGTCATTCAGAAGTTTTTTTATCATTGGATTAGTGATCACGGGGTTCCTTTGTCAATTGTTAGTGATAGAGACACCCGCTTCACCAGCCAGAACTGGCAGAAACTGATGAAAGTCTATGGGTCAAAGTTGTTAATGTCATCTGGCCGTCATCCAGAGACTAACGGTCAGACAGAACAGATGAACAAGATCCTGCAGCAAGTTCTGCGCATGTATATTAGACCGGATCAAGTCAATTGGGACGAGATGTTGCCCAAGGTAGCCAACACATACAATAACAGTGTACATTTATCTACCTGTCTCACTCCCAACGAGTTACACAAGTCCTTTAGACACCGCAGACCATTTGAAGGACTTACCCGGGATTAGATTCACAGACTACCGCCCGGTACTAGGGAGTTCGCGATACAGCACGAGAGAGAGCTAGCAAATGTTGTTGAAAACCTCAGGAAGGCCCAGCACCGCATGATAGAATAGGCTAATAAGCACCTTCGCCCATTGTAGTTTCAGGTAGGCGACCTGGTCTGGGTCAAGTCTAAAGAGCTTGCACCTGAGGAGACCATCTCGCAGAAGTTACTGCCTGCATATAGAGGACCGTGGCCGGTTCTAGAAGTCAAGGGCGGAGAGGATGGACCGTCCTGCACTATAGAGATTCCAGCACACCTCCACACCTACCTGGTGTTCCATGCTTCAAAGTTGTTGCCGTGTGTCACAAGTCAACAGTTCCCTTCAAGAAGATCCATGATCCCCCCGGATATGGATGGCAGATATGACATTGACGGCATTGTAGATGAAGATGTGTTTCGGACAGGAGGTTGAGGTCGTCCACAGAAACAGTATAAGGCCCGGTTTGCTTATCAAGAACCGGAAGATGACCGCTGCTTTACTAGAACAGAACTTCTAGAAACAGCTCCCGACATAGTCAGGGCCAATGAGCGTGATAGGAAGGGTAAAGGTCCTGCCTTGGACTAAGATATTGTCGGAGGACCTCGAATTTAGGACGGCGTGAGTGAACGGTTTTCACCTTTTGCAGTAGCAGATGCAGACCCCAGGGCTCGATCCCTAGCCCTTACCCTACCGGTGAGTATCTGTATCGACCCCAAGGCTTGAACCCACAACCTGTGCATTTGTAACAGTTGGGAGACGGCTGTAGGGTCCGTAGGTAGCAGGGGTTCGATCTGTAGATCTGTAGAATATAAGTCTTAGCGAGTTCCAGAAGTCTGAGTTGTAGTCCTTCTAGAAGGTCGGGCAAGTGGGCAAGTGGGCAAGTGGTGGACCAAGGACACTACGTTCGCAGTACGATAGCAGTAGGATAGCAGTGCGTCCCATGTAGTCAGCGGTAAGGTCCAGTCAGTCCCAGTCCGGTCCAGCAAGTACCACGAGGGACTGTGAGCACCATGGGCCGATGGAAAAGGGCAGACCAACGAGCTTCAGAAGTATAAATCAAGTGGCAGTGCCCAGCCAGTTATTCATTCCTGCGTGAGCCATGTGGATGCGCCGCCACAACGACTTGTGCAAGGAGGTCTGCAGTAAGCCCAGAGCCGAAGTGGGCGAGAGAGAAGGAGCGTAGCATAACGATAGATTAGTTGCGGCCATAGCCGCCATAGTTAGAGTTAGTGTGTAGCGTGTGTGTGTGTGTGAGTGCAGAGGAACGTGTGTGGGACATCCAGGGTGATCCGGTGTATGTGAACAGTGAGTTGTTTGGGCGCTGAGTCGCCATAGTCATTGAAAGTGAACTCGTACTTGGGTTTCCATATCTCTGAGTTTTGAGTGGGCGCATGTCGCCAGTTTGCTGCACTACTGTTTGCATGCATGAAAAGTGTGAATGAAAGCGAGTCTGATTGCATAAGAGAATGTCTGATGTTTTCATGTTGTTCATCACTGTGTGAAAAATGTACGAGTTCATTGTTGTACAACATAGCAACTTTCCCGTTTACCACCACGCATCAGAAACCCGAACATGACAACTTGGAGAAGGAAAATCATTTTTCAATTGCCATTTTTTTCTACAATTATTCATCATAATGCACGGAACATGAATGTGGACGAAGCACAGAAATCCAAATCGCAAAATCGCACTGAAGTCCGAGTAGTCAAAGCAAGAGCAGATAGCACAATGGAACCAAGTAACCATCCATTCGAGAACGATACAGCAGAATCGTGAGTCAATGTCCAAGCCCAATCGGGCAACACCAACAGCATAACCCAATGTAGCTCTCTCTCTTGAATGGCGCCAGGCGCCCTATCTACTCTACAGCCTATCCCTACAGCTACAGCATGAAAGCAACCAGACAACTTGACGACCAGCGAGTGATGACGTCAACACCAATGCCGACCTCCTCTCCACCAAGTACGTCTCTCTCTTCACCCTCACTCTCCCTCGTTATCCCACACAGCGCCCTTCACCTTCYGAAGAACCACCTTCGCCCTCACCTCCTTCTGCGCCCTCAGGCAGCCCGGCTATGGCCGCCAGCGCCCTGCGCCCAGGCTGYGCCCTACCGCTTAGCGCCAGCCTGCCTTCACCTCAGCCTAGCGCAGCGCAGCACCTCACAAATGCGCAGCATGCCGGCATTGCTCGCAATGGCSAAGATCCCTGCCCACTCGCCCTTTCTGCCTATATGCCAGTGTTGCGTGTGGGCGGCCTCCCTTCAGCCTGCGCCTGGGCCCCAGTACCTGTACCCAGGCCCAATGYGGTTGGGGCCCACGAAATACAGTTGCGCCCCTTTCATCAAGGCCTGCGTCCGGATTCAGCTAGTGGACCGGTTTCCCATTGGCATTTTCGGCCTCTGTTTCCAGCATGCAATGTCGGCCTCACGTTTATGTGTCCAAGGCCTAACCAATTCTGGGGCCCTGGTCCTTCTGCATTTGCAGAGATCTGATACTCGGTGCACTCCAACCAACTGGCGTGCGACAACTGTATGGACCCCACTTCGTGAAATGTTGAACAGAAGGGGCTCTCGTTGATTTGCTGGCCCGACTTTACTTAGGGCGGGCAAGAGGCTTGCTCGGGGCCTTAGCCTATAACATATGCATATCGGCAAGGCCCCGTTGAGGGCTCATTCCTCACATTCCATCCCCCTTAGCTTCGAAAGTCCGTTGAGATGCTTACTTTGCAGGTGCCTTCCCTTTTAACTTCCTCTCATATTTTGCCACCACTTGAGGAGCTGTGTCAACCAGTTCCTCTCTGGTGAACCATTGATCTTCTTTTGGATCTGTATGATGCCTGAATCTGACGCGATATTGTCTCTTGGGTTTGGGAGGCCTTCCTCGACCCAGTGGCTTTGGAACAGGCATGTCTCTGTGATCCACAATGTCGTCGATGTCCACTTGGCCATCCATGGTTGGGGGCAGCATCGATCTCCTTGAAGGGAATTGATCTGTCTCAGCGAAAGGTGCAAGCTTTGAGGCATGAAAGACAGGGTGAGTGCGCAGGTGTCCAGGGATACGGATAACATAGGTAGGACCATCCATCTCATCCCCAACTATGTCCAGGACTGCCCAGGGACCAAAATATTGAGGCATTAGTTTTCAAGATATTCCGAATTCCTGTCCTAGCTCACTAGCCTTGACCCAGACACGTTCCCCTACCTAAAATGAGGATTGTCGACGATGCTTGTTCTCAGAAGCAATCATGGTTTGCTGAGATTTCCTGATGTGCTCGACAGCTTGTTGTAGCAACTTCTCATACTGCACACCTTATTCAAGTGTGCCCGAAGTTGCAGACGGTCGGTTTTCAGGTAGGAGGAAGTCCAGAGCTGATCTAGGCTTCCATCCCAAGTGCAGCTGGTTAGGACTGACGTCGGTACTGCTGTGTACAGCGTTGTTGTACAGGCTGGCTCATCCTGGTTGGGCTTGATGTAATGCCTCAGCAGGTGTTGTACAACTCTGTTCATCTGCTCGGCCTGTCCGTTGGCTTCGGGATGATTCCCAAAAGTCATATGAAGTTGACTGCCCAATTGCTCAGCAGACTTCTTCCGCAGCTCACTTGTGAAGCGGACATCTCTGTCACTAACGATTGACTTTGGCAGTCCAAAATCAGGCACCCATTTGTCCATAAACAACTTGATGACGTGTTCAGTCCTTGCGGTCTCTGGCATGGCTGTTAGTCTAGCGTACTTGGTGCCTCTTGCCACTCCTACTGGTCACAAGGGTGTCCATGAAATCCATGGAAACACTCTGTGTCCAGGACCAGCGGGGATAGGTAAGGGCTTCAACAACCCAACTGGTACTTGAGTTCGCGGCTTGTCCCACTGACAGACCTGACAGGTCTCCACATACTTCCTTGCATCATCTAGCATTCCGGGCCACCAAAATCGTTGTACTAGATTGACACTTGTCTTTTTGTAGCCAAAGTGTCCAGTTGCGTCATGACATTCCCCTAGAAATAAGCTGCGCAAACTCTCTCTAGATGGAACTACTAATCTTTAACA